ACATATACTCCCTTTGCTTCACCCCTCAATCCATATACTACCATTGCTTCGCCCCTCAATCCATATACTACCATTGCTTCACTCCTCAATCCATATACTACCATTGCTTCGCCCCTCAATCCATATACTACCATTGCTTCGCCCCACAATCCATATACTACCATTGCTTCATGTCACAATCCATATACTACCATTGCTTCACTCCTCAATCCATATACTACCATTGCTTCACCCCTCAATCCATATACTACCATTGCTTCACCCCTCAATCCATATACTACCATTGCTTCACCCCTCAATCCATATACTACCATTGCTTCACCCCTCAATCCATATACTGCCATTGCTTCACTCCTCAATCCATATACTACCATTGCTTCACTCCTCAATCCATATACTACCATTGCTTCACTGCTCAATCCATATACTACCATTGCTTCGCCCCTCAATCCATATACTACCATTGCTTCACCCCTCAATCCATATACTACCATTGCTTCGACCCTCAATCCATATACTACCATTGCTTCACTCCTCAATCCATATACTACCATTGCTTCACTGCTCAATCCATATAATGCCATTGCTTCGCCCCTGAATACATATACTCCCTTTGCTTCACCCCTCAATCCATATACTACCATTGCTTCGCCCCTCAATCCATATACTACCATTGCTTCGCCCCTCAATCCATATACTACCATTGCTTCGCCCCTCAATCCATATACTACCATTGCTTCGCCCCACAATCCATATACTACCATTGCTTCATGTCACAATCCATATACTACCATTGCTTCACTCCTCAATCCATATACTACCAATGCTTCACCCCTCAATACATATACTACCATTGCTTCGCCCCACAATCCATATACTACCATTGCTTCGCCCCTCAATCCATATACTACCATTGCTTCGCCCCTCAATCCATATACTACCATTGCTTCACCCCTCAATCCATATACTACCATTGCTTCGCCCCTCAATCCATATACTACCATTGCTTCACCCCTCAATCCATATACTACCATTGCTTCACTCCTCAATCCATATACTACCATTGCTTCGCCCCTCAATCCATATACTACCATTGCTTCACCCCTCAATCCATATACTACCATTGCTTCACCCCTCAATCCATATACTACCATTGCTTAGCCCCTCAATCCATATACTGCCATTGCTTCGACCCTCAATCCATATACTACCATTGCTTCGCCCCTCAATCCATATACTGCCATTGCTTCACCCCTCAATCCATATACTACCATTGCTTCACTCCTCAATCCATATACTACCATTGCTTAGCCCCTCAATCCATATACTGCCATTGCTTCGACCCTCAATCCATATACTACCATTGCTTCATATCTCAATCCATATATTACCATTGCTTCACCCCTCAATCCATATACTACAATTGCTTCATCCCCCAATCCATATATTACCATCTCTACATCCAATAACCATTGATTACCATCTCTTCATCCAATATCCATATAGTACCAACTCTTCATCCAATATCCATATATTACCATCTTTTCGCCCAATATCCATATATTACCATCTCTTCATCCAATATCCATATATGATCACCTCTTCATCCAATATCCATATATTACCACCTCTTCATCCAATATCCATATAGTACCAACTCTTCATCCAATATCCATATATTACCATCTCTTCATCCAATATCCATATATTACCATCTCTTCATCAAATATCCATATATTACCATCTCTTCATCAAATATCCATATATTACCATCTCTTCATCCAATATCCATATATTATCACCTCTTCATCCGATATCAATATATTACCATCTCTTCATCCAATATCCATATATTACCATCTCTTCATCCAATATCCATATATTACCATCTCTTCATCCAATATCCATATATTAGCATCACTTCATCAAATATCCATATATTACCATCTCTTCATCCAATATCCATATATTACCATCTTTTCACCCAATATCCATATATTACCATCTCTTCTTCCAATATCCATATATTACCATCTCTTCATCCAGTATCCATATATTACCACCTCTTCATCCAATATCCATATATTACCATCTCTTCATCCAATATCCATATATTACCATCTCTTCATCAAATATCCATATACTATCACCTCTTCATCCAATATCCATATATTACTATCTCTTCATCCAATATCCATATATTACCATCTCTTCATCCAATATCCATATATTACCATCTCTTCATCCAATATCCATATATTACCATCTCTTCATCCAATATCCATATATTACCATCTCTTCATCCAATATCCATATATTACCACCTCTTCATCCAATATCCATATATTACCATCTCTTCATCAAATATCCATATAATACCACCTCTTCATCCAATATCCATATATTACCACCTCTTCATCCAATATCCATATATTACCACCTCTTCATCCAATATCCATATATTACCATCTCTTCATCAAATATCCATATAATACCACCTCTTCATCCAATATCCATATATTACCACCTCTTCATCCAACATCCATATATTACCATCTCTTCATCCAATATCCATATATTACCACCTCTTCATCCAATATCCATATATTACCATCTCTTCATCAAATATCCATATAATACCACCTCTTCATCCAATATCCATATATTACCATCTCTTCATCCAATATCCATATATTACCATCTCTTCATCCAATATCCATATATTACCATCTCTTCATCCAATATTGATATATTACCATCGCTTCATCCAATATCCATTTATTACTATCTCTTCATCCATTATCAATTTATTACCATTGCCTCATGGTATGAGTGAGTTAGGTATCCATGTTAAATTGCGGCACGGTAGCTCGGTGGGCAAGCACTATAGAACCGGCATAAGTTTGGACTAGTACACGCACGCACGCACGTCGGTATTCAAGTGCAATGCTATTGAACGCAACGTTAAACCCCATTTCAACTGACATGTTCAGCGTGAACAAGACGAGCAGTGCGTCAGTTAAACAGTTCTTAAAAGAAGAACAGGTGTGCCTTTACAACGTCATTGGGTAGACGTGCTCTGTCAAGCGAACACTGTTGCATGTCACGACCCAGGGTTAGTTCTGTTACGCTATGTGAAGGTCATTGCGGTTTGCATTTGCAATACGCCGCAAACGCTTCCCAGTCACTGAGTCTGTACAGTGCCTCCACTGCTTCACGGGAACTCATCGAGCTGCTAATGTGGAGTGGAGATTCGAACCTGATCACTGGAACCTGGCATCAAAGGAACATCCTGCAGCTGTTGGCACCACCGGAACACACTCTATTCACATGCTGGGATGGTGTCTACATCAGGTCTACCTCTGTCTGACGGTGTCTACATCAGGTCTACCTCCCTCTGACAGTTTCTACATCAGGACTACCTCTGTCTGACAGTGTCTACATCAGGTCTACCTCTGTCTGACATTGTCTACATCAGGACTACCTCTGTCTGACAGTGTCTACATCAGGACTACCTCTGTCTGACGGTGTCTACAACAGGAATACCTCTGTCTGACGGTATTTACATCAGGTCTACCTCTGTCTGACAGTGTCTACATCAGGACTACCTCTGTCTGACACTGTCTACATCAGGACTACCTCTGTCTGACACTGTCTACAACAGGACTACCTCTGTCTGACGGTATCTACATCAGGTCTACCTCTGTCTGACAGTGTCTACATCAGGTCTACCTCTGTCTGACAGTGTCTACATCAGGACTACCTCTGTCTGACAGTGTCTACATCAGGTCTACCTCTGTCTGACAGTGTCTACATCAGGACTACCTCTGTCTGACAGTGTCTACATCAGGTCTACCTCTGTCTGACAGTGTCTACATCAGGACTACCTCTGTCTGACAGTGTCTACATCAGGACCACACATGTCTGACAGTGTCTACATCAGGTCTACCTCCCTCTGACAGTGTCTACATCAGGTCTACCTCTGTCTGACATTGTCTAAATCAGGTCTCCCTCTGTCTGACATTGTCTACATCAGATCTACCTCTGTCTGACATTGTCTAAATCAGGTCTACCTCTGTCTGACATTGTCTAAATCAGGTCTCCCTCTGTCTGACATTGTCTACATCAGAACTACCTCTGCCTGACAGTGTCTACATCAGGTCTACCTCTGTCTGACATTGTCTACATCAGGACTACCTCTGTCTGACACTGTCTACATCAGGACTACCTCTGTCTGACGGTGTCTACATCAGGACTACCTCTGTCTGACTGTATGTACATCAGGTCTACCTCTGTCTGACAGTGTCTACATCAGGACTACCTCTGTCTGATAGTGTCAACATCAGGACTACCTCTGTCTGACAGTGTTTACATCAGGTCTACCTCCCTCTGACAGTGTCTACATCAGGTCTACCTCTGTCTGACAGTGTCTACATCAGGACTACCTCCCTCTGACAGTGTCTACATCAGGACTACCTCTGTCTGACAGTGTCTACATCAGGACTAACTCTGTCTGATAGTGTCTACATCAGGTCTACCTCTGTCTGACAGTGTCTACATCAGGTCTACCTCTGTCTGACAGTGTCTACACCAGCTCTACCTGTCTGACACTGTCTACAGCAGGACTACCTCTGTCTGACAGTGTCTACATCAGGACCACACCTGTCTGACACTGTCTTCATCAGGACTACCTCTGTCTGACACTGTCTACATCAGGACTACCTCTGTCTGTCTTTGTCTAAGTCAGGTCTACCTCTGTCTGACAGTGTCTACATCAGGTTTACCTCTGTCTGACACTGTCTACATCAGGTCTACCTCTGTCTGACACTGTCTACATCAGGTCTACCTCTGTCTGACACTGTCTACACCAGTACGACCCCGACTTGTCTATATCGGCACAAAATGGCGTCAAGGCAATCGAAGAGTACGTATCTATTACACAGAACGTGTTACGTCAGAAGCCGTCGGACCAGCGTTGGACAAACTATAATACAGCTTACCTTTCAGGAGGTAATATCCAATAGACCTGAGGGTATATCCCCTTGAAGAGTTAGCTGAAAATCTGTTTTAGAATTTCCGTGGAAGATAGCAGCGTACAGGCAGTGTATACCCGCCCTTTTTATCTTCTGCAGCCGTTGTTCAAGCAGCGAGTAATTTTGTGTTAATGCACTGGTGAACCCCCCCGGACTCTATGTCGTTGCGCTCCACAGAACACGATGCTTGCTGTTTAGAGTCAGGTATTATTTGATCGGGCGTTCATTATTATTGACAACAAAAGACTTCGAATAAGCTTATGCACTGTGCAGGTCTTGATGTTAACTGCGTCACTGCGTCGTGTTGGCAAGTGGTTCTACAAGTTATATATATATATATATACACACACACACACACACACACAGAGAGAGAGAGAGAGAGAGAGAGAGAGAGAGAGAGAGAGACACAGACAGACAGACAGACAGACAGACACACACACAGACGGGATGGGACATACATACATACATACATACATACATACATACATACATACATACATACATACATACATACATTGATTTATTGAATGCTTGCAGTGTCAACATGTTATAGGTCGCTGTTCAAGTTTATATATTCACTCACTCATTCACTCAAACTACACGTTTTACTGGAGGGGACACAGGAAGCCCATTCGGGATTTTGTTTCTAGTTTTGTAAGAACCATACACGTGGGTTTCACCAAAGTAAATTATTGAGACCAGCATCACTTCGGACTTTCCTCCCACATTAAGCTGTCACGCCGTGATATAGCTGGAATACTCACTTACTCTATTTCATCCTTGTGGTGTTACGTGTCACAGCCAGCAGGCCTTTCGATTAGCGAATACAGTAAACTACGGTTATAACGAACTCAAAGGGACGACTAATTTTGGTTCGTTATAACCGTAGTTCGTTATAAGCATATATACAGCATAACTACAACAAATAGTCGGGACCAAAGAAGTAAGTTCGTTATATCCGTCAGTTCGTTATAAGCGTGTTCGTTATAACCGTAGTTTACTGTACATGTATATAAATGAGAAGAGAATCAATCATATCGGTTGGTTGGTTGGTTAGTTTGTTGTTTAACGCCGCACTCAGCAATATTCCAACTATATGACGGCGGTCTGTAAATAATCGAGTCTGGATCAGACAATCCAGTGATTAATATCAAGAGCATCGATCCACACAATTCGGATCGATAACATGCATCAACCAAGTCAGCGAGCCTGACCACCCGATCCCGTTAGTCGCCATTTACGATAAGCATAGTCACCTTTTACGGCAAGCATGGGATGCTGAAGACCTATTCTACCCCGGAATCTTCACGGGTCCAATCATAAGGGTCGAAGATGGGAGGGTGATTAGAATAAACACTTAGACATGCTGAAACAGCTCCACAAAGTGTAGCCCTTTGTGCTGAAGCGTATCCTTAGGATTGTTTGCTTGTTTGTTTTTTGACGCGGCATTCAGCAATATTCCAGCTGTATGACGGCGGTCTGTAAATAAACGAGTCTGGACCAGACAATCCAGTGATTGACATCATGAGCATCGATCCACGCTATTAGGATACTATGACATGCATCAACCAAGTCAGCGAGTCTGACCACCCGATCCCGTTAGTCGCCTTTTACGGCAAGCATGGGTTGCTGAAGACCTATACTAACCCGGATCTTCACGGGTCTCTTAGGATTTCGTTCATCCAGCCATAAATCCAAAATAGAAGCAGCGCTTTCCATTGGGCATTTTATTAACTAAAAACGGAAAGCAGTTCATTAGGTTAAAACAGTCAATGCGTGTACCTTTAAATAACACACTGGCGGCGGAGTAGCTAGTCACGCCGAAGGCCAAGGTTCGATTCCTACATGGGTACAAAGTGTGAAGCCCATTTCTGGTGTTTTGCGCTGTGATATTGCTGGAATATTGATAAAAGCGGCGTAAAACCAAACTCACTCACTCACCTCCCAGACTTGACTATTTACTGGCTGTCATCACAGGGATGGAATATGACTCAGAAACTAAAGAAATCGAGAGGACTTTTTGTTACTAGTTACACATAAACGATCTATCTTACGTATTTCAAATTACTCCAGCAAACATTGTAATTATAGAATATACGTTGAGTATCCAGCCTCCGTCAGCCAGATTTCAAGGTCAGACTCAAGGTCGCGGAAGGCAGCCATGTTGTTTCTTATTGAACTTATGGCTTCATCCCTCAGTATTCCATCGCTGTGAGTTGCATTCCGGAACATTTCTGACAACTACAAATGAAGGAGAATGCATTAAGTGTGGTGGAAGTTCATATCCATATACAATGTGCAAATTCACACAACAGGGAGCTTCCTGTAAGGTTTTTGTTTCTTTAAATCTCTTTATTCAACGCCAACAGTAAAGTATCAAATTGTAGTATGGACTATTATAAATATTCTCATTCCCAGTTTATGTGTCTGTTTGTTTGTTTGTTTGTTTGTTTGTTTGTTAACTCACTCAGCAATATTGCAGCTATATGACGGCGGTCGGTAAATAATCGAGTCTGGACCACGCAATCCAGTGATTGACATCATGAGCATCGATCCAACCAATTGGGATACGATGACATGCATCAACCGAGTCAGCGAACCTGACCACCCGATCCCGTTTGTCGAATCTTACGACAAGCATAGTCGCCTTTTAGGGCAAGCATGGGTTGCTGAAGACCTATTCTACCCCGGATCTTCACGGGTCTCAGTCCCTGTAGCCGTATTCGAAAAGCAGACAGTAACTTGTTTTGTTTGTTTGTTTTGTTTGTTTCTCCTTTAACACTGCTCTCAGCTATATGACGGCGGGTAGAATATGTCTTCACCAACCCATGCTTGCCGTAAAAAGCGACTATGCTCATTGGGTGGTCAGGTTTTCTGACTTAGTCATCGTATCCCAATTGCGTGGATCGATGCTCATGATGTCAATCATGGGATTGTCTGGTCCAGGACTCGATTATTTACAGACTGCCGTCATATACAGTGTTCAACAACAAACACACAAAAAGCAACAGTAGTAGCAGCAGCAAAATAAGTAGAAGTAGTAGCAGCAGCAGTAGCAGCAGTAGTAGTAGTAGTAGTAGTAGAAGTAGCAGTAGCAGCAGTAGTAGTAGTAGTAGAAGTAGCAGTAGCAGCAGTAGTAGTAGTTGTGAGTGAGTATGGTTTTACGCTGCTTTTAGCAATACTACAGCAATATCGCGGCGGAGTAGTAGTAGTAGTAGTAGTAGTAGTAGTAGTAGTAGTTGTGAGTGAGTATGGTTTTACGCTGCTTTTAGCAATACTACAGCAATATCGCGGCGGAGTAGTAGTAGTAGTAGTAGTAGTAGTAGTAGTAGTTGTAGCCACAGTATCTCTATACTCACCTGCTGTGTAAACGCCTCTGATTTCTGAAGGTATTTAGCCCCTGCAAGAAGCGGCCGTAGGTCATACTTCCGCCTGTAAAGGGATTTAACTTTAATTTACCTAGTTCAAACCACTGGACGATAGCGTGAGCATCAGCTTAGGGGTCGACCATTTGATATTCTGGGCGAAAAATAAGAAATTGTCAGCCACAAAAATTACGGCCGCCTCCGTGGTCTAGTGGTAGAGCGTCCGCCCGGTGAGCGGTAGGTCCCGGGTTTGATCCCCGGCCGCGTCATACAAAAAGACGTTAAAAGATGGAACTTGTTGTTACCCTGCCTGGCGCCCGACATTAAAGGGCTAAAACAAGGACTGGTGGGCTTGGAGTCAGTATACTGTCTGAGTTGGGTATTCCCGTTAAACTGCGGCATGGTATGTCAGTGGGTTAGCACAATAAATCGGGATCATTCCGGACTAGTACAAGCAGCCACAAACACGCACACACGTGCTATGTAAGTGCAATAATCTTGGACACGACGTTAAACCCGATTTGACCTCACCTCACGAACATTACATGGTTGCAACGACTACAAGACCCACACACCCAAAATATCAAATGGTAAGTCCCTTATAGTTAGTGGACAGTACACAGATAAGCAAATACAGTAAACTACGGTTATAACGAACACGCTTCTAACGAACTACGGTTATAACGAACTAAAATTAGTAGTCCCTTTGAGTTCGTTATAACCGTAGTTTACTGTACAATGTGTCAGGCCTATTATGTGTGTCCCCTGTCAAGATAAGGCCGGCGTAATACCATGAGACTAACGTCTACTGTCAATATGTGAGGGTCTAAGACTTCTTACGTGTATGCGTCAGGTTTTATGCCGTTTAATACAGTATAGCAGGTAAATGAACGTGTCGGCTAAATATGAGAGGAGAAGGTCGTAGACGTTTACATTTGTTTGTTTGTTTGTTTGTTGCCTAACGCCGCACTCTAGAACTAAAACAGCGCCCTATAAAATGATGACACTGCTAGCATTCTCACCCGATATCTACAAGTAGGATCACGTCGACTTTTCGTTGCGACATTTCACTACTGTTTGTTTGTTTGTTTAACGCCGCACTCAGCAATATTCCAGCTACAGTAAACTACGGTTATAACGAACACGCTTATAACGAACTGACGGATATAACGGACTTACTTTTTGGGTTCCGACTATTTGCTGTAGTTATGCTGTATATATGCTTATAACGAACTACGGTTATAACGAACTATAATTAGTAGTCCCTTTGAGTTCGTTATAACCGTAGTTTACTGTATATGACTACGGTCTGTAAATAATCAAGTTTGGACCACATAATCCAGTGATTGGTGTCATGAGCATCGATCCACGCAATTAGGATTTGATGACATGCATCACTCAAGTCAGCGAGCCTGACCGCCCCATCCTGTTAGTCGCCTCTTATGACAAGCATAGTCGCCTTTTACGGCAAGCATGGGTTGCTGAAGACCTATTCTACCTCAGACATTTACTACTTTGGTGAAACCCATGTGCGGTGTACCCGGGTACGGTGCAGACAAACCATGGATTACATAGGACGAAACTGGGACTCGAACCCAGATCACAGGATCGCGGCACCGCTGAGAGACACAACTCTCCACAACGAGTTTAAGCGCCTGGCTCTAGTAAGGGGAACAACTTTACACAATTACCTTTTGCACCTAGCTCTAGATACTAAAACCTGCCCATGTCCAGTCCACCGCCCCATTGTGTTACAAAACGAAAATATATCTAAAACGCATTACTTACTTATAAGTAGCCGAATTTCTGAACTTGTTCACAGCTGACGTAATCTAAAACTAACATATCATTTTTGGTTTCAACAAAATCAGTAAATGCACTATCTTGTCTCTTTATTTCTGGTCCATCACTGATTGTCTGGTTTGATTTACAGGTGCATAGCAGGGGTCTTGGTGTGGGGCGTCAGGCAACGAATTTTTATGCAAATTCTGTGAGTGGCGGGTGATACCGGTAGAGCAGGTCACGTGTTAAACATTTTCGCGAGCAACTGTTGACATTACTGATTTTTAGTGATCCTTTTATAAAATCTTCACCACCCAATGGAATCGGCGGATAATAGAGACTGGTTATTCTCTGGCGTTGACACTCTCTATCTAGTAACGTGCCAACTCAGCACAGAGACTATGCAGCGCCTGGTTCAACTAAGGGACACAACTCTGCACAACGACTAGGCAGCGCCTGATTCAACTAAGGGACACAACTCTGCACAACGACTGTGCAGCGCTTGATTCAACTAAGGGACACAACTCTGCACAACGACTGTGCAACGCCTGATCTAACTAAGGGACACTACTCTGCACAACGACTATGAAGCACCTGATTCAACTAGGGGACACAACTCTGCACAACGCATTACGGCGACCTGCAGTGCCCCCGACTACACATGGTGACCCCAGAAGACTGACGTGTTTGAATGCTCCTGAATGTACGTCCACACGGCGTCCCTGGCACGGCGAGATCGGGTCAGGCTGTACAAGATGGCGTCTCTCTGGCCCAGGTCGGGCGTCCCGGGGAGAAATTGTTCCAGCACCCTGCAACACCCGTAGTATGCAGTAGGGAAGTAGGCATGGCACAATGTAACATTACAGTTACTAAGGCGTAACATTTACTCATAGGCGGCCGTGGCAACAACAAACAAACAAATCTCACAATGCAGATATTGTGTCTTCGACATGCCAACACTGATAGTCATATCGTCGGGGTACCGTAAATCTTGAAATTAATGCGTCTCCAAATTAATACGACTGCCGACCCCTAGCCAAAAATGCGACTCAAAATTATTGCGACTCGCCCAAGCCCCATCACCATCCCCATCCCGTTTGGAGTGGTCAGTGATGCCTAGTGGGTAGAACTCTTGAGAATATCTACCACGCGACCTACCGTTCAATCAGCGAAGGTTCACTTGCACACCCCAGTGCCCGATCTAACGCCGTCTTGTGCTTATGAGACAAGGCCGTGTTGAGGGATGCGTTGTAGACCATGTTCCACGCGTGGTGTCCACCGTTCATGACGCCGTAACAGTACACAGTTGCCCTGACTTCCACCGACAGTATCCTGGAAAACATGGCATATTATTAATAAATATCTTACAACACGCTTCTTATGTAGTAGACAACATCGTAGATACGACAGTAGACAGTGCAATAGAGAAGACAGTAGACAGTGCAGTAATCACGACTGTAGACAAGACAGTAGACAATGCAGTAGCCAAGACGGTAGACACAGCAGAAGACAAGGCAGTAGACAGGACAGAAGATAAAACAGTAGGCAAGGCAGTAGATAAGAAAGTAGACAAGGCAGTAGACAAAACAATAGACACGGCAGTAGACAAGGCAGTAGACACGGTAGTCGACAAGGCAGGAAAACAATAGAACAATAGGACAGAACAATAAATGCAAAATCACAGATGAGAATAATTAATACCATTGTATTTTAATTAAAACAGATTCGCAGGAATAAAGTGAAATCAAGAATTTCTTACTAGCCTGGACTAGTACGGGCATCAACGTGGAATAAGTATAGGACATTTTTGTAATAAATTAATGTCACTCACACTATGATATCTTTTCTTTTTTTTTGTTAAACAAATATTTAAAAAAACAAGCAACCAGACCATCGGAAGGGCATATCTGTAAACATGCTGCCTGAAACAAAAACTGCTAAGTCGGATCGTTGAGTGGGCGGGGATATTAACACTCATATTGTTCAATGTGTGTTAGGGCTGCTAAAATATTTCCTCCAGGGGTGAAGCTGTTCACAAGGGATTGGAACCCAAGACAGTTTTGCGGTGGAGGTGAGATAAGGCTGGTGGACTGACCGCTTCCCTTCTGTCCATGCGATGAATGCGTCTGACGCAGCACCCAAACACTCTGCCAGTCCGTAGAGACACGCCCACTGGGCTATCTGCTTCCTCTGCATCCTAGAGGGGTAAAGAGATTGTCAGCTGACTGCGTTTCCGTATCATAAATATCATGTATTTCGGCTGCGTAAAAAAATTAATGTTTTGCGGCCGCATTTTTCTTAAATGTTTTGTTTTTATTTACGATAAAAATAATGAGGGATGATTTTTTCAAAAAATTTATTTGCCAACCAAACGACGTCATTTCGCTTAACGAAGTAGTTTTAGAAACCGCGTATGACTACTTTGATCGAACTGACCCATGTTTCACACAGTGTACATGATTTGCAGACACGTTTGGCAACATAATCACCCACAACATCGATCGAGAAACCCGTATATAAAATTATTATTTCTCCCCGAGGGAAGTGACTTTAAAAGTCCAGTTTTCCACCCTTGCCGAACTAGGCTGGAATTTCTAGGCCCGATTGTAGCGCGACATGTTTCCTATGGACCATATATCGATTTCCTAGAGGTATTTTGATTGGTCTATGCATAGACTCGTTAGTCCAGCCAAAGAATAACACCATAATTCCAGACAAATTCTAACCCGGAATCCCCACTGAAGGAAAGTATTACATTGCCATTGGGACTTCATCGTCATTCGTCCTCAGCCCATGGTGTTGGAAAGCTGCTTGCAATCGGTCCTTCATGTAGTGCTATAATAGACATGTCACTATTTCAGTTAACAGTTCAGACATATACTTGTTTTTGTTTTTGTTTTTTTTGTTTTCAGACAACCGTGTCTTGACGATTTAAACGACTATGATAACTCGTGCAACAACGCCGTGAACCCTAAGAAAGCAACCATTTCATTGTCGGGGTGTTTGTTTGTTTGTTTGTTGTTTAACGCAGCACTCAGCAATATTACAGCTATAGGACGACGGTCTGTAAATAATCGAGTCTGGACCAGACAATCCAGTGATTGACATCATGAGCATCGATCCACCCAATTGTGATACGATGACATGCATCAACCAAGTCAGCGAGCCTGACATCCCAATCCCGTTAGGCGCCTCTTTCGACAAGCATAGTCACATTTTTGGGCAAGCATGGGTTAAGAAGACCTATTCTACCCCGGATCTTCACGGGGGAGACAAGTATGGGTTGCTGAAGATCTATTCTACCCCGGATCTTCACGGGGACAAGCATGGGTTGCTGAAGACCTATTCTACCCCGGATCTTCACAGGGACAAGCATGGGTTGCTGAAGATCTATTCTACCCCGGATCTTCACGGGTCCATTTTGGTTAGAGATCAGCATCTTATAATGTTCGGAGCTTAATTGGTTTTTTTCAAACATTAACAGGTGCTCACATAGTTATTTTAATAAAATATTAATAACGAACTGTGTGAAGGATAGTGTTCTTATATTTTTAAAGTACGTGCAGGGCTACTCGCATTAATTTCAAAAACGTATTTATAGGCTAGGAGTCAACACTCGCATTAATTTGATGACCAAATAATTGATTTGATGTTTGTATGTTTGTTTGTTGTTTAACGCCGCACTTAGAAATATTCCAGCTGTATGACGCGTACGGTAAATAAATATATACGCTAGATATGGTTGTTATTCCAGTATTTCAGCACTATTATCACGTTTCATATTACTATGGAGAGAAACCAGCAGTAAATCCTGATACAAGCTCCTCACAGCGATAGCCCTTTCGCGGAGCTCCCTTATACCATCGCTGCCACCAGTCGAAACTCCCCACTGTGATAGGTGGCCACAATGATGCTTTGAGTTTAACTCGCAACCGACTGAACGTAATGTTTACAAACAAGTGACGACTGTCGTGACGCCGAATACACTTACCGCTGCTAAATTACTTACTTTAATTTGTTTGTCAATTTGAATTTCTATATCTAATTACCACGTAATTCATACAGTAAGAATGAGAGGGAGAAGTTGGTTGATTTAACGTTAGTCTGCAATCTCGAACCAATCTGATTATTAAAATAAATTCATATTGAAAACATGGTCCGTCGTAAACCTTTTCAAAATGAACTATGATGGCATTCCTAAAGACATAAACAAACGTATGAACGTTACTGCATTTGGGGTTAGGGGGCAAATTTCAATATTCTTGTAATTGCCGCGCCTACACTGCTGGCAGCGATGTTACCGAGAGTGTAACGAAGGTGTCACGCGCTGGGATGGAGCTTGTTCCTGATACGGCCAAGGGACGCAACTCTGTAAATCGAATTGCGGCGCATTTAGACGGCGATGGGATGAACAAAATAGACTTTATTGAGATCACAGCTTTAATGACAAAACATATCTGCAGCAGTGTTGACGCTGGGGAGGTGGGGTAGTCTAGTGGTTAAAGCGTTTGCTCGTCACGCATAAGACCCGGGTTCTATTCCCCACATGGGTACAATGGGGAAGCAAATTCTTGCGTCACCTCCTTCGACATTGTTGGGATATTGCCGACGAACGGTGTACCACTCACTCGGTGTTACCACGGGGAGGGGCGGTCGGGTAGCCTAATGTTTAAAACGTTCGCTCGTCACGCCAAAGACCTGGGTTCGATTCCCGACATGGGTACAATGTGTGAAGCCCATTTCTGGTGTCCCCCGCCGTGATATTGCTGGAATATTGCTAAAAGCGGCGTAAAATCATACTCACTCACTCACTCACTCACTCACTCACTACCAGGGGGCACCGCCGTGGAAGAGATAAAAAAATGAAGACTTAATAAAGGGGTAAATCAGTGGGTGAGCTGGTTTCAACGCTCCTTTGAACAATATTTCAGTTAAATCACGGAAATCCGGAAGTGAAGCTGCAGGTCTTAGATGTTTCCGCTTTAGTAACCCTTGACAGGCATGGTGCTGATAAACCCTGAAACATGATCGGGCGAACCGGGATTCGAACCAGGATCAGCGCATCCTGGCATTAGAAGAAGGAGACAACGTCCTCATGTGAAAATGTCAAATTCGCAATGTGTTAAGCAGTTTTACACATCATGGATTACGTGATAACTTGAAAGGTAACAAAATTTCAACTCACCTGAAAAGCGTCGTACAGTCGGGTCCGATCTGTCATGGCGTCGAGTTCACCTATCTCACGGAGAGCAGTCAGCCAAGGGACATACTCCAACTCACTCTGAAGGTAATCAAGAGAACGCAGGGCGATCCTTGCATCCAGTGCCTGGGATCTTAAATCAAATAAATAGTTACGGTAAGGTGATGTGAGGTGAGATGGGGAAAACGTCGCGTCCAAGATTATCGCACTTACATAGTGAAGTGCATGCACGTGTGTGTGTGTGTGTGTGGCTGCTTGTACTAGTCCGGACTGATGCCGATTTATAGTGCTAGCCCACTGAGATACCATGCCGCAGTTTAACACGAATACCCACTCAGACACAGTATACTGACTCCGAGTCGACCAGTCCTTGTTTTAGCCCCTTAATTCCGAGCGCAAGACAGGGTAACAACTAGTACCATTTTTTAACGTCTTTTGGTATGACGCGGCCGGGGATCAAAACCGGGACCTTCCGCTCTCCAGACGGACGCTCTAATACTAGACCACAGATTAAAACAATATTAAAACAAAATTATTTTATGTGTACCATCGCTTGAACCACTTGTATGTTTTGCATGCTACGATTTTGTTACAGTTCGAACAAGAAGTTTAAAATCGCCTGTGTTGTTTTATTGTGTGACACGTGACGTGTGGGGCAGTCAGCCAAGGTGCAGCAAGTCGCTGTGAATTATATGATACTGTGTACGTATCCCAGAATGCCCCTGATTATAATCTGGGTGTGTTTGCACCATACTATGGAATCCTGGAAGGGACATTGTCGCGTTGTCGCCCTTACAAAAAAAGGCAACTAGTGTCAAAATTAACCAAACAGAGAAACACGACAATCTTCCAGGATTTGATTCCATACCATTGCTGTAGGTTTCAGTTGCGTGATAAACATCTAAGGACAGGGTCATTTTGAGCTTCCACATCAGTCGTGACCAACTTGTGTTATTCCGGTTACGGAAAGGGGCGAGTGGTGACGAATGCTTCGACATCAAGCTAACCCGCCATTATAACTGAAGCTCGTTTTGAAACTGCGTGAAACCAACTCTTTCAGTTGGATTATTCAATTGTATGATTCAAAATTCGATAATCGGGTGGTGGATTGACAAGAGTGAGTGAGTGAGTTGGGTTTTACGCCGCTTTGAACAGTATTCCAGTGATATCACGGCGTGTCAGCTTAATGTGGCAGGAAAGCCGAAAGTGATGCAGGTCTCAGACGTTTACTACTTCGGTGAAACCCACGAGTATGGGTATGGTGCTGACAAACCTAGTAACATAACCGGGGCGAACCGGGATTCGAACCCATGATCATTCATTTCTGGCGTAATCAAGGGAAGCAACTCTTCTCGGCGAATTGTTGCACCTTAGTCGACTGGGCCCCCGGGGCTGCGGATTGATTAAGTAAATATTATGACCCTAATAGCATCTGCCAGACGCGGAAAGTGAAACAGCATACACTCACTTATAGAGGGCAAAAGCGTCGCTGATTATCTGAGACCTACTATGGGCAGAGAACACCTGTAAATTAAGAATTAAAATTTTGTTATTAAATATATATTTCTTCATATTAATTATGTCATTACCTGAAAGTAATGCCCCGGTTCTATTTCTCACATAGGTTCATTGGCCGTTGCTCATGCTATCGCCCATTGTTTTTTGTTGGTCATGATTATTTACAGCTGCATTGTAGGAATACACTCACTCATTCACTCACTCATTCACTCACTCAACCATCCACCCACTCACTCACTCACTCACTCACTCACTCACTCACAGAATTATACACTTATTATTTTCCTCTTGACACCGTACCATATTTTTTACCCCCGTTAAGTTTCGGAATAGAATAGGTCTTCAGCAACCCATTATGCCGTAAGAGGCGACTATGCTTGTCGTAAGAGGTGACCAACGGGATCGGGTGGTCAGGCTCGCTGACTCGGTTAAAGCATGTCATCGTATCCCAATTGCGTAGACAAATGCTCATGATGTCAATCACTGCACTGTCTTGTCCACACTAGAATATTTACAGACCGCCGTCATATAGCTGGGATAATGCTGAGTGCGGTGTTAAACAACAAAACAAAACAAAACAAAAACAAACAAAGAACATGAATCTAAACAGTGTATGGCCCAGCCTACCGTGTGGTCTCTCTTTAACTGTTCCAGGAGCGCTAGCCAGTTTCTGTCGTCGTAGTTGACGCGGTAGTAGCCGATGACGTCGGGGTTGGCGAGAATCCAACCATCAGGGTCATCCTCATCAGGAATTGACAGGTTGTAAAAGGTTGCTTGCCACATTTTTTGCAAAATAAGCAATTTTTTATAACATTAAGCTGCCTGGTATAAGAAAGTACACACTTATGTTTGATGGTGGCTAAAAAATGAAACAAACAAGAAAAGGTTATTCGACGGTGAATTATTTGATACGGGTATCATAGATGTGTTTTAGCCCTGAAGTTTGCGGGGTTTCGGCGACTGCAAAGTGTATAATGCATAGGTTTGTTGATCACTATGAGTGAGTGAGTTGGGTTTAACGCCGCTTTTAACAGTATTCAAGTTATATTACGGCGTAGAAACAATCCGCGCGAACCGGGATTCGAACCCTCAATCATAGGTTTCTGGCGTACCTAAGGGACGACACTGCACAGTGAATCGCGGCGCCTTAGACGACTGGGCCACCAGTGCCCCCCTGGATTTTAGTGAGTGAATTGGGTTTTACAACAATCCAGCAATATCATGGCGGGGGACTTCAGAAATGGGCTTCACACACTGTACCCATGTGGGGAATCGAACCCGGGCCTTCGGTATGGCGAGCAAACGCTTTAACCACTAGGCTATCCCAACGCCCCAAATTGGATTTGAACTTCTGTGGAATGTTCCACTTTTAGCGCCGCTTTTAACAGTATTCAAGTTATATCACGGCGTAGAAACAATCCGCGCGAACCGGGATTCGAACCCACAATCATAGGTTTCTGGCGTACCTAAGGGACGCAACTCTGCACAGCGAATCGCGGCGCCTTAGACGACCGTGCCCCCGTTGATCACTATGGCATTGTGTAAACAAACCTTCAGGTTCACTCTTCTTAAGCCATAGGATGTCGTCATATTGGTTGGCGGTGCTCCAGACTGCGTTCAGACTCGATGTCATTGTTATCGGGATATCCCACGTGTACCTGCAGCACAATATAGCTGAATCTGAAAGTACTTGGACAGGTGTTTGATTTGTTTGTTAGTTTGTTTGTTTGTTGTTTAACGTCGCACCCAGCAGTATTCCAGCTAAATGGCGACGGTTTGTAAATAATTGCGTCTGGACAAGATAATCCAGTGATTGACAGGATGAGCATCGAACCACGCAATTAGGATCGATGACCTTCATCAACCTGGTCATCGAGCCTGACTCACCCGATCGCCTCTTACGACAAGGATAGTCGCCTCTTAGGGCGACTGAAGGTGGTTTGCTGAAGACCTATACGACCCCGGATCTTGACGGGCCTTGCACGTTTGAATAAGGTCCTGCAAACAACACATTTACTGGCCGATAGGTCATGTTTTGTCCAGCTCTACTGAGGTCCTGTTTGTAATATTATTTGCATATTCACTTTCAGACAACGTGAATCAGGTTTCACAAGAGGCTTGTCTACTGTCAGAATTGATAGTTACCCATATGTCGCATATCCATTGCCAGAATGTCGTGTATCAACTGTCAGAAATAATATTTATATTTACCCACGCATTGCATATTCATTGTCAGAAATAACAGAATATATTTACCCATATTTAGCATATCAAGGGTCATAACTGATAATTGTATTTACCCACATGGAGCGTATCCAGTGTTAGCATTAATACTTGTATTTACCTATATTTAACACATCAACTGTTAGTATAATAGTTATGTTTACTTACATGGAGCGTATCCACTGTCAGAATTAATAGTTATATTTACCCATATGGAGCGTATCCGCTGTCCGATTCGCTGGACATATTTTTCCTAAACAACTCCTGTTTGACGTGGACTGATCCTGTCTTTGACCTCTGCACCGTCAGCAAGGGGAAGTGCATCTGTGTGAGCCATGGGTCCATGAAACTCTCCGTGTTCACGGTCATGTTCTCCGCAGTCGCCACCTTCAACATGGAGACAAGTCTTCTTACTTCCGACAATTCTGATGTGCTGCTGGTGATTAGAGATGGAATGGTTAAAAAACGGAATGATGGATTGGTTAAACAACGGAATGATGGATTGGTTAAAAAACGGAATCGCCCCCTTGTGTTGTTTTACGCCGCACTCAGTAACGTCCCAGCTACATGACGGTAGCCTGTAAATAGTGAAGGCTGGACCAGATGATCCAGTGATTGACATCATGAGCATGACATGCATCAACCAAGTCACTGTGCCTGAAGGGGGCACGGGTGGCCCAGTCGTCTAAGGCGCCGCGATTCGCTGTGCTGAGTTGCGTCCTTTGGGCAAGCCAGAAACCTATGATTGGGGGTTCGAATCCCGGTTCGCCCCGATTATGTTTCTAGGTTTGTCAGCACCATACCCGTGCTCGTGGGTTTCCCCGAAGTGGTAAACGTCTGAGACCTGCATCACTTCGGGCTTTCCTCCCACGCCGTGATATAACTGGATTATTGTTGAAAACGGCGTAAAAACCAACTCACTCACTCACTCACTGTACCTGACCACTTGTCCATTTGGTCGTCTCTTACTAAAAGCATAGGTTGCTGGGGACCACTTGTAACCCGGAATCTCTACTGGAGTGAGTGAGTGAGTGAGTGAGTTTAATTGAAAAATTGGAGGGTCTCGAGCACTGTTTCTCTAAACGGCGGAGGGCTCTGAACAATTATTTTTTCCAGGCCAGCAATCATATCCAGCCAACAAACTGTTTTGTTCTTCTAAAGCCACATGCAAGCCTCGCTACATGTGTTAAAACCACACACGGATGTCCACCCTTACCTCGTCCAGTACTGCCCACAGGTCTGTGAAGTTCACGCTAGAATACTGGTGCCGGTGTAGAAACAGCTAGGTCCGAGAAAACAGAAGCGACATAAGCACGTACACGAGCAGTCACTCATTACACAAAGCACATTCCCGAGAAACACGGGCATTTATGAACTACCATGTCTATGACGAAACAGAGAGTAAGTGAGTATGGTTTTACGCCACTTTTAGCAATATTCCAGCAGAATAATCACGGCGGAGGACACCAGAAATGGGCTTCACACATTGTACCCATGTCGGGAATCGAATCCGGGTCTTCGGCGTGACGAGCGAACGCTTTAACCACTAGGCTACCCGACCACCCCACGAAACAGAGAATCTCCCTTAGCGCCTTTTGATATCAAGGCTTGAGTTTAAACGTTTATATACATGTGTTCATGTATTTGATCAGGTGAGAAAGACCTGTGAACTCTTACGGCTCCAGGTTACCCCAACCGCCTCCATAGTCTGGTACAGAGAGCATCTGGACAGCGGAAAATCGGTTGTTCGAGCCCCTGGCCGAGTTATACCTAAAAGCGTTAAAAGATGGTATTTGTTGTTTCCATGGGGCTCGGCGTTGAGGGGCTTAATCAAGGACTTGTCGGCTCGGAGTCAGAATACTGTGTCTGCGTGGGGTATTCATGTTAAATTGAGGCATGGTATCTCAGCAGGCTAGAGGTATAAAAATCGGCATTAGTCCGGACTAGTACACGCAAGCACACATGCACGCACGTTGCTATATAAATGCAATAACCTTGAACGCGACTTTAACATAATTTCATGCATGCACGCACGCACGCATGCACACACGCACGTCACTATATAAATGCAATAATTTTGAAAGTGACGTTAAACACAATTTCACCTCACCTTACCTCACCTCATCTCACCTCACCCTCACCAGGGGGCACGGGTGGCCCAGTCGTCTAGGGCGCCGCGATTCGCTGTGCAGAGACCTATGATTGTGGGTTCGAATCCCGATTCGCCCCGATTAGTTTCTAGGTTTGTCAGCACCATACCCGTGCTCGTGGGTTTCACCTAAGTGGTAAACGTCTGAGACCTTCATCACCATCGGGCTTTCCTCCCACATTAAGCTGACACGCCGTGATATAACTGAAATACAGTTAAAAGCGGCGTTAAAACCCAACTCACTCACTCAGCCCCACCACCTTACAAACATGAGTCAGTACTTACATTTAGACCTTCCAGAGTTGTTTCTTCTCCAAGGGTGTAGAAGAGCATACGGAATATACTTCCACCCTGATAACAGATGCAAGGAGGAAGTTGAAAGAAAATACATTAGTTAATTCTGTTCGTTGTTTTTACGTCAGTCAACACTATTCCATTTTTATGACGTCGAATCTAGACCAAACAAAGTGTTTGATATTATGAGCACCGCCGCCATATGGTTCGATGACACACAATCACCCAAATCAGCGACTCTGGCAAACCCATACAATTTAGTCGCCTCCTTAGGCAATCAATAGCGAGTTAGTGAGTAAGTTGGGTTTAACGCCACCTTGAACAATATTTCAGTTGAACCATGGCGTGTCAGCTTGATGTGAGAGGAACTGTCTGAATGTCGGCCATAATCCTAATAGCGTAACAAGGCCTTTGATGGTGATACCTAGATTGGATATCTCAGTATTTTGGAAAATGTATTTTTCCATTAATTTGAAAAATGAAATGGATGATTGAAGTCTTTCTCCAAATGTGTCTGTTTAGTTAATAATATCACGTAATAATGTTATCTATCTAACGGCTCAAGAAGCTCTATTCACTCAGCAGGGAACGGGTGGCCCAATCGTCTTAGACGCAGCAACTCGCTGTACAAAGTTGCGTACCTTTGGCATGCCAGAAACCTATGATCGTAGGTTCGAATCACAGAAATAGTAAAATCACTACTTTTCTATATTTACTAAACAAAAATTGAGATATGACCTACCTTCTCCGTAATCCGATCATCCTTGTCTGGTGTAATGCTGACGGGTCGCGTTATATCCACGTCCATCCTCATGCTGCTGTGTATCTACCTTCTCCTTCGTCATCTGATCATCCTTGTCTGATATGATGCTGACGGGTCGCGTTATATCCGCGTCCACCCTCATGCTACTGTGTACCACCTACCTTCTCCTTCGTCATCTGTTCATCCTTGTCTGGTGTAATGCTGACGGGTCACGTTATATCCACGTCCATCCTCAAGCTACTGTATACCACCTACCTTCTCCTTCGTCATCTGATCATCCTTGTCTGGTGTAATGCTGACGGGTCACGTTATATCCACGTCCATCCTCCTGGTACTGTATACCTACCTTCTCCTTCGTCATCTGATCATTCTTGTCTGGTGTGATGCTGACCGGTCGCGTTATATCCACGTCCACCCTCAAGCTACTGTGTACCTACCTTCTCCTTCGTCATCTGATCATCCTTGTCTGGTGTAATGCTGACGGGTCGCGTTATGTCCACGTCCACCCTCAAGCTACTGTGTACCACCTACCTTCTCCGTAATCCGATCATCCTTGTCTGGTGTAATGCTGACGGGTCGCGTTATATCCACGTCCATCCTCAAGCTACTGTGCACCTACCTTCTCCGTAATCCGATCATCCTTGTCTGGTGTAATGCTGACCGGTCGCGTTATATCCACGTCCATCCTCAAGCTACTGTGCACCTACCTTCTCCGTAATCCGATCATCCTTGTCTGGTGTAATCCTGACGGGTCGCGTTATATCCACGTCCCCCCTTATGCTACTGTGTCCCTACCTTCTCCTTCGTCATCTGATCATCCTTGTCTGGTGTAATGCTGACCGGTCGCGTTATATCCACGTCCACCCTCACGCTACTGTATACCTACCTTCTCCTTCGTCATCTGATCATCCTTGTCTGGTGTAATGCTGACGGGTCGCGTTATATCCGCGTCCATCCTCAAGCTACTGTCTACCTACCTTCTCCGTAATCCGATCATCCTTGCCTGGTGTAATGCTGACGGGTCACGTTATATCAACGTCCACCCTCAAGCTACTGTGTACCACCTACCTTCTCCTTCGTCATCTGATCATCCTTGTCTGGTGTAATGCTGACGGGTCGCGTTATATCCAGGTCCACCCTCAAGCTACTGTGTACCACCTACCTTCTCCTTCGACATCTGATCATCCTTGTCTGGTGTTATGCTGACGGGTCACGTTATATCCACGTCCACCCTCAAGCTACTGTGTACCACCTACCTTCTCCTTCGTCATCTGATCATCCTTGTCTGGTGTAATGCTGACGGGTCGCGTTATATCCGCGTCCACCCTCAAGCTACTGTATACCACCTACCTTCTCCTTCGTCATCTGATCATCCTTGTCTGGTATAATGCTGACGGGTCACGTTATATCCACGTCCACCCTCAAGCTACTGTGTACCACCTACCTTCTCCTTCGTCATCTGATCATCCTTGTCTGGTGTAATGCTGACGGGTCACGTTATATCCACGTTCATCCTCAAGCTACTGTGTATCTACCTTCTCCTTCGTCATCTGATCATCCTTGTCTGGTGTAATGCTGACGGGTCGCGTTATATCCACGTCCACCCTCATGCTACTGTGTACTCTCGCAACAAACATCTCCATCTGGAATGAAAATAGTTGATATATATTATTCTGAGCTTTATTTTACTCCCGACACCGAGTCTGCAGCAAATGTCAGTACAATTCCCAAATTGGAATATGAATTATAATTATAACCAATGGTATGGCCAGGCGACTTATACTGGTATTTCAGAGACAACCGGAAAGAAAAGAATAATACACAAATGACACATAGTTTATGTTATGGCTTTGCATACTTGTATACCTCTAAATTTAGGAAAAAAAGAACATTTAACAAAACATTGTTTGTACCAATTCGCCTCTCATAGGCACTTAGTTTTATATCCTAGATAATTTCATGATTATAATATGCAATCGCCAGAGGATGACCCTTGTTGAACGGGGTTCGAATCCTGGTTCGCCCTGATTATGTTAGCAGGTTTGTCAGCACCATACTCGTGCAAAGGGTTTAGGTGAAAGGTGAAATGGGGTTTAACGTCGCGTCCAAGATTATTGCACTTATACAGCGACGTGCATGCACGTGTGTGTGGCTGCTTGTACTAGTCCGGACTGATGCTAGCCCATTGAGATACCATGCCGGGTTTAACATGAATACCCCACTCAGACACAGTATACTGACTCCGAGCCGACAAGTCCTTGTTTTAGCCCCATAATGTCGAGCGCCAGGCAGGGTAACAACAAGTACCATCTTTTAACGTCTTTTGGTATGACGCGGCCGGGGATCGAACTCCGGACCTTCCGTTCTCCGGGTGGATTCTCTACTACTAGACCACTGAGGCGGTCCCCGTGCACAGGGGTCTTAAGAAGTGTTTAACGTCTAAGGTCTGCACACCTATGGCTTTTCTCCACATCAAACTGACACGCATTGATAGAACTGACGACGGAGGCGTCAAACCAACTCACTACACTCACTTGCCTCTTACTCACTCGTTCGTTCGTTCGTTCGTTCGTTCGTTCGTTATCCAGACAGATAATCCGTAATTTATCGCAGCTGGTTACTCATTATTTTCTTAATACCTCACGCCATTCAGGGTAGATTTGAGCCAATGCATACGAATCAAGAAACGTGGCAATGCCTTTACTCAGCCACGCCCACTCCTCGCCAGCGGGGGTCACCAGGTCTCCAAACCACTGCAAAACACGAGACGGGGGATCTTAGTCACGGAAACCTCATAGGCAGCAGTATTCGGTGATCAAGACGAATGTTCTGTTCTGTTAAATATTCAAGTGAACATATCAAAGTAGACTAGAGTACAGTACACGATATGGAGGTCTGTATGAGGTGAAAGAAAAGTAACTCTTTGAGGAAACCAGGAAGCCAGCAAGTCTCTTAAAGGGGATGAGTATAGGCTGCTAGTGCTGCGAATGGTTAATGTTTGTTAAATAGATGCACTGGGATAATGTTTTTGTTTTGTTTGTTGTTTAAAGCCGCACTCAGCAAAATTCCAGATTCGGGTAGAGAATAGGGAGGCGCTGCAAAACTTTCAGCCGCTTGCAAGCGAAACAATCGCTGACTAAGGTCGCTTCGTTCTCAAACCAAAATGGCGGCTTACTTTGACAGCGGAACAAGGAATTATTGACTGGATCAACGAGAAAATGAGCAAAGCTATATAGTAGCTATAACACTCAATCATCCTCAGTCAGCTCAACTTCTTCAAAGTAGTCATAAATTTCATCAGCTCGCCATCGAACCTCTTCTATTGCGTTCTTCATTACGCGGATGGTCAGGCTCGCTGACTTGGTTGATGCATGTCATCGTGTCCCAGTTTCGTAGATCCATGCTCATGATGTCAATCACTGGAAAATCTGGTCTCGATTAATTACAGACAGACGGAATATTGCGGCGTAAAACAACAAAGAACCGGACAAACAAACCGACGTCATATAGATGAAATATTGCTGAGTCAGGCGTTGAACAACAAACAAAAACAAACTAACAAACAAACAAACGTAAGGCAACATGTTCTCTAGTTTCCCCAGTATTCAACAATTGCTCTTAAGTTAACAGTTTTCCTCAGATTACATGTCCATCATTTTACATATGAATCGTGTAAGGGATCCTTTCCCCGATTGGCACGACGCTAAAAATAGCCGTCCAATCAAATTACCTATAGGAGCGAGAGAAATTCTGTGCTTGGTTAGTGACAAAAGCGATGGAGGCGGTGACATCACGTCCGAGGTTGTGGTGGCAAACAGATCCATGGTACGTATCATAATATAATAGAGATTTAATACACGGGAGGATGCAGACCCATACCTGTTGAGAGACTCCTTGAGCGGTGAGTCGTGCAAGTCGCTGCTCCGCGATGCGTCCCTCCTCTGTGTACACTGATGTCCCCCGGAGTGTCGTGCTACCCCAGTGTTCAACGACGACGTGTTTCACGTTCCGTACCACGACGTTGTCTGAAGGAGTGCATGTGTACATCTTTGTAGACAAAGCTAGAATTATGTTGCGAGTCTGGACCAGGCAATCCAGTGATTGACACCATGAGCATCGATCCACGCAATTAGGATACGATTCCACCCGACTGACCACCCGATTTCGTTAGTCGCCTTTTACGACAAGCATAGTCGCCTTTTTACGGCAAGCATGGGGTGCTGAAGATCTATTCCACCCCGGATTTTTCACGACATCTGGAACATTAAATTCATTTTTATTACAATTCATTGCTCTGTTCGTCCCCTGTTTCTCACGTCTATGATAACAATATCTACACGTCCACCAAAGTAGTTGCTCTAGGAGACTGATTTGTCTATTGTTGTCTGTTGTCTTTTGTCGTCTGTTTTCCGTTCGTCTGTAGTCTTTGTCTGTTGTCCAATTTGTTGCCTGTTTTTTTATTTTTGACTGTTGTCATTGTCTGTTGCTTAATATTGTCAGTTCAATTGTCTGTTGTCTCCTGTTGCCATAATGTTGCCATTGTCTGTTGTCTACTGTTGTCATTGTCTATTGCCTAATGTTGTCATTGTCTGTTGCCTAGTGTTGTCATTGTCTGTTCCCTAATGTTGTCATTGTCTGTTGCCTAATGTTGTCATTGTCTGTTCCCTAATGTTGTCATTGTCTGTTCCCTAATGTTGTCATTGTCTGTTCCCTAATGTTGTCATTGTCTGTTCTCTAATGTTGTCACTGTCTGTTGCCTAATGTTGTCATTGTCTGTTGCCTAATGTTGTCATTGTCTGTTCCCTAATGTTGCCATTGTCTGTTGTCTACTGTTGTCATTGTCTATTGCCTAATGTTGTCATTGTCTGTTGCCTAGTGTTGTCATTGTCTGTTGCCTAATGTTGTCATTGTCTGTTCTCTAACGTTGTCATTGTCTGTTCCCTAATGTTGTCATTGTCTGTTCCCTAATGTTGTCATTGTCTGTTCCCTAGTGTTGTCATTGTCTGTTCCCTAATGTTGTCATTGTCTGTTGCCTAATGTTGTCATTGTCTGTTCCCTAATGTTGTCATTGTCTGTTCCCTAATGTTGTCATTGTCTGTTCCCTAATGCTGTCATTGTCTGTTGTCTACTGTTCTCATTGTCTGTTCCCTAATGTTGTCATTGTCTGTTCCCTAATTTTGTCATTGTCTGTTCCCTAATGTTGTCATTGTCTGTTCCCTAATGTTGTCGTTGTCTGTTTTCTAATGTTGTCATTGTCTGTTCCCTAATGTTGTCATTGTCTGTTGCCTAATGTTGTCATTGTCTGTTCCCTAATGTTGTCATTGTCTGTTCCCTAATGTTGTCATTGTCTGTTCTCTAATGTTGTCATTGTCTGTTCTCTAATGTTGTCACTGTCTGTTCCCTAATGTTGTCACTGTCTGTTCCCTAATGTTGTCATTGTCTGTTCCCTAATGTTGTCATTGTCTGTTCTCTAATGTTGTCATTGTCTGTTGCCTAATGTTGTCATTGTCTGTTCCCTAATGTTGTCATTGTCTGTTCCCTAATGTTGTCATTGTCTGTTCCCTAATGTTGTCGTTGTCTGTTCTCTAATGTTGTCATTGTCTGTTCTCTAATGTTGTCATTGTCTGTTCTCTAATGTTGTCACTGTCTGTTCCCTAATGTTGTCACTGTCTGTTCCCTAATGTTGTCATTGTCTGTTCCCTAATGTTGTCGTTGTCTGTTTTCTAATGTTGTCATTGTCTGTTCCCTAATGTTGTCATTGTCTGTTGCCTAATGTTGTCATTGTCTGTTCCCTAATGTTGTCATTGTCTGTTCCCTAATGTTGTCATTGTCTGTTCTCTAATGTTGTCATTGTCTGTTCTCTAATGTTGTCACTGTCTGTTCCCTAATGTTGTCACTGTCTGTTCCCTAATGTTGTCATTGTCTGTTCCCTAATGTTGTCATTGTCTGTTCTCTAATGTTGTCATTGTCTGTTGCCTAATGTTGTCATTGTCTGTTCCCTAATGTTGTCATTGTCTGTTCCCTAATGTTGTCATTGTCTGTTCCCTAATGTTGTCGTTGTCTGTTCTCTAATGTTGTCATTGTCTGTTCTCTAATGTTGTCATTGTCTGTTCTCTAATGTTGTCACTGTCTGTTCCCTAATGTTGTCACTGTCTGTTCCCTAATGTTGTCATTGTCTGTTCCCTAATGTTGTCATTGTCTGTTCCCTAATGTTGTCGTTGCCTGTTCCCTAATGTTGTCATTGTCTGTTCTCTAATGTTGTCATTGTCTGTTCTCTAATGTTGTCATTGTCTGTTCTCTAATGTTGTCGTTGTCTGTTCTCTAATGTTGTCATTGTCTGTTCTCTAATGTTGTCATTGTCTGTTCCCTAATGTTGTCGTTGTCTGTTCTCTAATGTTGTCACTGTCTGTTCTCTAATTTTGTCATTGTCTGTTCCCTAATGTTGTCATTGTCTGTTCCCTAATGTTGTCGTTGTCTGTTCCCTAATGTTGTCATTGTCTGTTCTCTAATGTTGTCACTGTCTGTTCCCTAATGTTGTCATTGTCTGTTCCCTAATGTTGTCATTGTCTGTTCCCTAATGTTGTCGTTGTCTGTTCTCTAATGTTGTCATTGTCTGTTCTCTAATGTTGTCATTGTCTGTTGCCTAATGTTGTCATTGTCTGTTGCCTAATGTTGTCATTGTCTGTTGCCTAATGTTGTCATTGTCTGTTGCCTAATGTTGTCATTGTCTGTTGCCTAATGTTGTCATTGTCTGTTCTCTAATGTTGTCATTGTCTGTTACCTAATGTTGTCATTGTCTGTTCCCTAATGTTGTCATTGTCTGTTCCCTAATGTTGTCATTGTCTGTTGCCTAATGTTGTCATTGTCTGTTCCCTAATGTTGTCATTGTCTGTTCCCTAATGTTGTCATTGTCTGTTCTCTAATGTTGTCATTGTCTGTTGTCTAATGTTGTCATTGTCTGTTCCCTAATGTTGTCATTGTCTGTTGCCTAATGTTGTCATTGTCTGTTCCCTAATGTTGTCATTGTCTGTTGCCTAATGTTGTCATTGTCTGTTCCCTAATGTTGTCATTGTCTGTTCCCTAATGTTGTCATTGTCTGTTCTCTAATGTTGTCATTGTCTGTTGCCTAATGTTGTCATTGTCTGTTGCCTAATGTTGTCATTGTCTGTTGTCTACTGTTCTCATTGTCTGTTCCCTAATGTTGTCATTGTCTGTTCTCTAATGTTGTCATTGTCTGTTCCCTAATGTTGTCATTGTCTGTTGCCTAATGTTGTCATTGTCTGTTCCCTAATGTTGTCATTGTCTGTTGCCTAATGTTGTCATTGTCTGTTCCCTAATGTTGTCATTGTCTATTCCCTAATGTTGTCATTGTCTGTTCCCTAATGTTGTCATTGTCTGTTCCCTAATGTTGTCATTGTCTGTTGTCTAATGTTGTCATTGTCTGTTCCCTAATGTTGTCATTGTCTGTTCCCCAGTGTTGTCATTGTCTGTTCCCTAATGTTGTCATTGTCTGTTTTCTAATGTTGTCATTGTCTGTTCTCTAATGTTGTCATTGTCTGTTCCCTAATGTTGTCATTGTCTGTTCCCTAATGTTGTCATTGTCTGTTGCCTAGTAGTCATTATCTATTGCCTAATGGTCATTGTCTGTTGCCTAATGGTCATTGTCTGTTGTCATTGCTTATTTAGCCTACCATATTTGGATAGCGGATAAGGTGGATCGAACGTGTTCTCAAACCAATCAAATACAGCAGACCCATGCTTGTGGAGCAGCTGTACTCTGGGAAGCTCATCTGGCCTTGCAACAGTACGGAACTGAAATACAAACAGCAACTGTTTCAACAACATAAACTGACACTGGCGCCTGCACCTTGGATGTGCCTTTCTTTGAGGTAAAGAGCCGAGTGCAAAAAAGTAAAAGATATAAGTATTCACAGTACGCGTTGCTCTCATAAATAGCTACAGTTACACGTGTAAATGTTTGTTTCTTGTTTAACGCCACACTCAGCAATAATCGAGCTGTATGACGGCGGTCTGCATGTAATCGAATCCGATTAAGACAATCCAGTGATTGACATCATGAGTATCGATCCACGCAATGCGGATACGATGAATCAACCAAGTCAGCGAGCCTGACCACCCGATCCCGTTAGTCGCCTCTTAGGACAAGCATAGTCGCCTAGTACGACAAGCACGGGTTGCTGAAATACAATTCTATTCTGGATCTTCACGGGTCTCACGGCTAGCACGGGTTGCTGAAATACAATTCTAAGCTGGATCTTCACGGGGATGAAGACGTGATGAATACAGTACATACTTGAAAAATAAAGACGCAGATATATGATGCAGATGACGACGTACTGACCTTGACTCCTGCTGAGGTTATGTTCTGAAGATAAGCGTAGTTACCGACAGTAAATGCCAAGTCGCATGTGGACATTTTCGGTGTTCGTTGGTAGACATCGGCTAGGATGCCATTTTGCCTGTCAAAATCAACAAATGGAATATTTTTTAACGGAAAAATGGGAGCGTTTTTGAAGTATCTACATTCATAAAATTCTCCATTACATACCATGCATATCAAGAAAATTCAATTCCATACCGAGGTTCTTGATACCAAATTTCAGTGTTGGACCACGTGCTAAATTTCTCTGAAGCCCTCCACAGTAAGGTCAAGTTGAAGGTCGTTTTGAAGGACGGTTCGTCGAAACAGGGAAATGCTCTTCTCGCAAAGCCATCGTTGAAGTACGTTGTGGCTGTCTTGCTGAATAGAAGTGGAGACGCTAATTTTGTAGTATATCCAATTTCTTATACCAAATATCTTTTTGAACATAAACTGGGATTTGGTTTGTTATAGGACACTACATCATGACGTCACAGAGTATGACGTCACTTGCTGAATCAAGTCAGGGCTGCTTCCACGCATGCGTACATAATGATTAAATTGTTAACTCACCATCAAGCCTATCATTTCCATTTAGTGATTGAGTTAGTGAGTAAGTATGGTTTTACACCGATTTTAGCAATATTCCAGTAATATCACGGCGGCCGAAACCACAGTTCCACTGATGGATATATTAAGAACTGATTTCACTATTGTTTGCGTTAATGGAAGTTTTGTTTTTTGTTTAACGCCGCACTCAGCAATATTTCAGCTATATGACGGCGGTCTTGAAGTAATCGAGTCTGGACCAGACAATCCAGTCATTGACATCATGAACATCGATCCACGCAATTGGGATCGATGACATGCATCAACCAAGTCAGCGAGCCTGACCACCCGATCCCGTTAGTCACCTCTTACGACAAGCATAATCGATTTTTACGGCAAGCATGGGTTGCTTTAGACCTGTTCTACCCCGGGTCGTTAATGGAAGTATGAACCCAAATGCTGGAACGCATGTGTAAGTACGCAAAATATGTGCACTGGTGTTAATGTTTATATCTCCATAAATGCAAAACATATTTTGAAGTCAATTCTTTTAAACAGATATGACAACAATAATTACTTTACAGACTGCCTAATTAATGATAAACACAAAAAACGCTTGACAACAATACGAAATCAGTGATCGTTTTGCGCAATGCTGAAAACAAGCCCCGCCCACGCTAGGGTCAGCCAATCAGTTAGTGGGCGTGGGCTACATCGTTTAAGTGTATTAGTCAGTCAAATGGCATGGAATCGCTTGCAGTTTATTTATAACGATATAATAGATAAACAACACTAGCAGTCTTACGATATCTTTCCCTCGGCATCGACGTAAGAATAGGCATAAATCCCATGAGGTCCGAAGTCAACGGGAGCCCGGTACTTTATCTGAATTTTATACCTTCCAAGGGGAGGTATTTCTGTGTCGAGTTGAATGACGAGCAGCTGAGACTGGTTCTTGTAGCTGATGCCGCGAACACCAGGACCGTCATTGGAAGGTGCTACGGGATCTAACCTCACCGAATCCTCATCGATGTCCAACTCTAAAACATTGACGGTTATAGCAGCTGTCTTGTCAAGCACCGTGAAATATATGGACACTTTCCCGTCGGCAGCCATATCCTCCACACTTCCGTAAAAATCCGGAAAGAGTTCAAGGTCGTAATGATAAGGGTAGATCACTCTTGGTAGATTTGGAAGGTTGAGGGAAGTCTGATTGAGTGTACGTAATTCTAGTGTTGACAAAGCTGGGCGGGATGAACACGCACCACCTTCAGGGGGACATAAGGTCGTGACGTCAGACTCGTTATCTGGAATTGTAAAACAAATATTACCCATGTAATCCTGGAAGGGACATAGTCGCGAAGTCGCCCTTACAAAAACAAGCATACAGCTTCAAAATTAACCAAAACGCCAATTGTCGTGTTGTTGTGCTTTGAAGAATATTTTTGGGGTTCTAAGAGATGTTAAAATCTAAAATGTTTAAATGCGGCATCTTGATAATGTCCTTTGTCGCTCTTTACTAATAGTGGTGCGCACGCACACAGAGTGAATTAATCTACGCTGCGCAGGAATGGCGAACTCCAGTGGTATTTAGTTCCAATGACTCTAAAACAAAGGAACCAATGACAATATGGTTTGCTTTTTTTCACCTTGAAAAATGTCGCTTTGTCGCATTGTAGCGCTTTGGTAACATAAAAAAGATCCCGCAAAGCGCGACAATGCGACAACGCGACAAAGCGACAAATGGCCAATGTCGCAATGTCGCGCGTTTGGCTAATTTTGACACGTTTTGCTTGTTTTTGCAAGGGCGACAATGTCCCTTGTAGTATTCCATAGTTCCAAGAGATGTTTCTTGGGACCGAATACCGAATAACACCCACGAACCTAGAAAAAACACAAAATGACGGGCAACAGAAAGTGTACCGAGCTTGTTTTTTATGCAATTGGAAATTGAAAGAACTGTTGTTAAATTTAATTATGTCTATTTAACCATCACTCATGCCTGCAAAAGATTGTAAAAATTAATCTGTGGCTGGGTAATTTTGTGTGAAAATAAATTGGTTAAGTTGAAATTAAAACATCTGATAAAATCTGTTGAGAGGTAGTTTCTTTCGCTCCTCACTGTAATGTTATTGGTTGTAGTCCGTTGGTTATTTTCGATCAAATTTGCCTACGTCATATTCAGCGCTAGTTTACACAGCACCAACGAACCCGACGGAACAGGTTTTCGAAATAACAAACCATTAAAGTACTTCTTACGGAAGCCTTTTAGGGCCATATGGTTTTGGGTTTTTTTCTTGAAATTTCAAGATAATAAGTTGAAATTTAAAGTTAATATCTTGAAATTTCAACATATCATCTTGAAATTTCATCATAGCATCTTCAAATGTCATCTAAGTCTCTTGAAATTTGAACTTAGTATCTTGACATTTCAACTTAACATCTTGATATTTCAAGATACTTACTTGAAATTTCAAGAAAAAGGTTAAGAAACAAATGACCCTAAAAGGCTTCCGTAACTTCTCTTTAAAGCGGCTCCCTTTCTCTCCATACTATATTGTCCACAGGCATATTTCTACTTGCGACAGTTTCCGATACCATCCTATATAGGTCATGCACAGGCTTACTTCAACGTGGTTTTCCACGCGTAAAAGTCACAATAGTTAACGGTATCATCTAAGATAATTGCAATTACATTGACGTGGTAATTACTGTTAATTAATAGGAATGAAGATGTCACAAACTGATGACTAGTTGCATCTGACATAACGAATGCATCGTGAGAGCGGATGATTTTTGTTGACATTTAGTCGGTCACATTTTCGGGTAATAAAAAAAACAATATTTATTCACGCCATCCATCACGCCCAGCAAACAATCGGTGTGTCTAATCTGAGGCAAATAATTATTTTGTACAGTATTATGTACAGATTATTATTTTTTATATAGTTTTGGTTTGGTTTGTTGTTTAACGCCGCACTCAGGAATATTCCAGCTGTATGACGGCGTTCTGTATATAATCGAGTCTGGACCAGACAATCCAGTGATACACATCACGAGCATCGATCCACGCAGTTGGGATCGATGACATGCATCAACCCTGACCAACCGATCCCGTTATTCGCCTCTTACGAGAAGCATAGTCACATTTTACGGTAAGCATGGGTTGCTGAGGACCTATTCTACCCCGGATCTTCAAGGGCGTTTGATATAAAGATTGTGTTTAAGGGTGAGTGTATGGTTTAGTTTAGTTTATATTACATTTAGTTTATTTATCTTGATTTGGTTTATTTAAGCTGCATGGTAGACGGTATTGTTTTACACAGGAGGACAACTTCAATATTTCTTTCTGAACTATTATTTACTATTCAGACATAAATTTAAGAAATGCACTTTTTTTTAAATATTGAAAGATGCAGCTTTTGATTTATGTAATCACAATCGTCTTTAGGGTTCCTCTTATTGGAACACGTGGGCATGGATAAAGGCTTATACTCACAGTCCTGATAGGGTATATATAGGAACACGTAGGCATGGATAAAGGCTTATACTCACAGTCCTGATAGGGTATATATAGGAACATGTTGGCATGGATAAAGGCTTACGCTCACAGTCCTGATAGGGTTCATATAGGAACATGTGGGCATGGATAAAGGCTTATACTCACAGTCCTGATAGGGTTTATATAGGAACACGTGGGCATGGATAACGGCTTATACTCACAGTCCCCGATAGGGTTCATATAGGAACACGTGGGCATGGATAAAAGGCTTATACTCACAGTCCCCGATAGGGTTCATATAGGAACACGTGGGCATGGATAAAAGGCTTATACTCACAGTCCTGATAGGGTATATATAGGAACATGTTGGCATGGATAAAGGCTTACGCTCACAGTCCTGATAGGGTTCATATAGGAACATGTGGGCATGGATAAAGGCTTATACTCACAGTCCCCGATAGGGTTTATGTAGGGACATCTGGGCATGGATAAAGGCTTATACTCACAGTCCTGATAGGGTTCATATAGGGACATGATGGCTTGGATAAAGGCTTATACTCACAGTCCTGATAGGGTTCATATAGGAACACGTGGGCACGGATAAAGGCTTATATTCACAGTCCCCGATAGGGTTTATATAGGAACACGTGGGCATGGATAAAGGCTTATACTCACAGTCCCCGATAGGGTTCATATAGGAACATGTGGGCATGGATAAAGGCTTATACTCACAGTCCTGATAGGGTTTATATAGGGACATGTGGGCATGGATAAAGGCTTATACTCACAGTCCTGATAGAGTTCATATAGGAACATGTGGGCATGGATAAAGGCTTATACTCACAGTCCCCGATAGGGTTGATATAGGAACACGTGGGCATGGATAAAGGCTTATACTTACAGTCCCCGATAGGGTTGATATAGGAACACGTGGGCATGGATAAAGGCTTATACTCACAGTCCTGATAGGGTTGATATAGGAACATGATGGCTTGGATTAAGGCTTATATTCACAGTCCTGATAGGGTTCATATGGGAACATGATGGCTTGGATAAAGGCTTATACTCACAGTCCTGATAGGGTTTATATAGGAACATGTGGGCATGGATAAAGGCTTATACTCACACTCCTGATAGGGTTTATATAGGAACATGTCGGCATGGATAAAGGCTTATACTCACAGTCCCCGATAGGGTTCATATAGGAACACGTGGGCACGGATAAAGGCTTATGTTCATATGGGAACATGATGGCTTGGATAAAGGCTTATACTCACAGTCTACGATCGGGCCCCTCATACCCTCCACAGTGGTCTCATTCCGGCCTTGTACAAGCGTCGTCCTTGACCCCTCAGCTCTATCGTTACACTCCGCCTCTTTTTGGAATATCACATACAGGAGTCCACCAATCACAGCGCATAAAACAAGCGATATGAGAACCCACGCACAAACAAAGGGACCGGAAACAGAGGATCTCTTTCCCTTCCGGGTCACAGTTTCCGGTTCCGGTTTGTCGGTCTCGTTGAAATCGAGCTCCATAATGTCCCACGGAGTTTCCCGTTTATGCACACTTCAGATCAGTACAGGAAGTGATGAGTTTAACCAGAAGAGTATAGCGTCAGGTTATACCGCTTCTGTTATTCCTCAGATATCATTGGAGTATATTTGATGCTGTGTTCGTCTTTACTCATTAAGTCGACATCATTATCACACACATTCCTGTCGTATTATGGCATAGCCTTTCTGTAATTACCATTGGGTATCATTGACATATATAGACTGTCTAGTCGATTGCAGTGGAATATATAAATAAATATCTGCATGGCATGGTAAGTACTTCCTCTCTCTCTCTCTGTGATGGGTGCGATGGGGTAGGCCAGTGGTTAAAGCGCCGAAGGTGTTCAGGTATTAATCTCTATGATAGTGAGAGAAATATACCAAAAATGGCGTTAAACCATACCCCCTTCCTTACCCACTCACTCACTCGTTGTGTGGTGACAGCTAAAGAGTTGGGGTGCCAAATACATGGGTTCTAATGTTTCAATTTTAAATTTACACATTATTTAGGGGCTGGTAATTTATTATAGTGAGGGAGGAAATGTATCTTAGGGGAGGCAATGAAAAGATGTTACATTAAATGGGTGTAACGGTGTAAGAATCTACATCTCAACATGTCATGCATATATACCTCTCATCACTTGGGGGGCGGTCGGGTAGCCTAGTGGTTAAAGCGTTCGCTCGTCACGCAGAAGACCCGGGTTCGATTCCCGACATGGGTACAATGTGTGAAGACCCTTTCTGGTGTCCCCCGCCGTGATATTCCTGGAATATTGCTAAAAGCGGCGTAAAACCATACTCACTCACTCACTCACTCATCACTTGGTCGGTGTCACTCCAGCTTGATAACGATGTACGAATCTACATCTCAACATGTCATGCATATTTACCTCTCGCTGACTTGGTTGATGCATGTCATCGTATCCCAAGTGCGTGGATCGATGCTCATGATGGCAATCACTGGAACATGATGGCTTGGATAAAGGCTTATACTCACAGTCTACGATCGGGCCCCTCATACCCTCCACAGTGGTCTCATTCCGGCCTTGTACAAGCGTCGTCCTTGACCCCTCAGCTCTATCGTTACACTCCGCCTCTTTTTGGAATATCACATACAGGAGTCCACCAATCACAGCGCATAAAACAAGCGATATGAGAACCCACGCACAAACAAAGGGACCGGAAACAGAGGATCTCTTTCCCTTCCGGGTCACAGTTTCCGGTTCCGGTTTGTCGGTCTCGTTGAAATCGAGCTCCATAATGTCCCACGGAGTTTCCCGTTTATGCACACTTCAGATCAGTACAGGAAGTGATGAGTTTAACCAGAAGAGTATAGCGTCAGGTTATACCGCTTCTGTTATTCCTCAGATATCATTGGAGTATATTTGATGCTGTGTTCGTCTTTACTCATTAAGTCGACATCATTATCACACACATTCCTGTCGTATTATGGCATAGCCTTTCTGTAATTACCATTGGGTATCATTGACATATATAGACTGTCTAGTCGATTGCAGTGGAATATATAAATAAATATCTGCATGGCATGGTAAGTACTTCCTCTCTCTCTCTCTGTGATGGGTGCGATGGGGTAGGCCAGTGGTTAAAGCGCCGAAGGTGTTCAGGTATTAATCTCTATGATAGTGAGAGAAATATACCAAAAATGGCGTTAAACCATACCCCCTTCCTTACCCACTCACTCACTCGTTGTGTGGTGACAGCTAAAGAGTTGGGGTGCCAAATACATGGGTTCTAATGTTTCAATTTTAAATTTACACATTATTTAGGGGCTGGTAATTTATTATAGTGAGGGAGGAAATGTATCTTAGGGGAGGCAATGAAAAGATGTTACATTAAATGGGTGTAACGGTGTAAGAATCTACATCTCAACATGTCATGCATATATACCTCTCATCACTTGGGGGGCGGTCGGGTAGCCTAGTGGTTAAAGCGTTCGCTCGTCACGCAGAAGACCCGGGTTCGATTCCCGACATGGGTACAATGTGTGAAGACCCTTTCTGGTGTCCCCCGCCGTGATATTCCTGGAATATTGCTAAAAGCGGCGTAAAACCATACTCACTCACTCACTCACTCATCACTTGGTCGGTGTCACTCCAGCTTGATAACGATGTACGAATCTACATCTCAACATGTCATGCATATTTACCTCTCGCTGACTTGGTTGATGCATGTCATCGTATCCCAAGTGCGTGGATCGATGCTCATGATGGCAATCACTGGATTGTCTTGTCCAGACTCGATTATTTACAGATCGCCGTCATATAACTGGATTATTGCTGAGTGCGGCGTCAAACAACAAATAACCTAACCTTACCTACTTCACATTGTGCGTAACTGGACATGAACAAAAAAATTATGTAATCTGTCTTACATACCCAAGAGAATAAATTAAAAAAGAAGTCCAACTCAAGTGAAATAAAGAATTTTTTTATTTTTTTAACAAAGCTTTATATCGACATTAGTAGTTGTTCGACACGGTTTTGGAGAATATTGAATAATCATTCATTTCAGCTAGAGTGAGTGAGTGTGGTTTTACGCCGCTTTTAGCAATATTCCAGCAATATCACGGCGGGGGACACCAGAAATCGGCTTTACACAGTGTAATTGTACCCTTGTCGGGAATCGAACCCGGATTTTCGGCGCGACGAGCTAACGCTTTAACCACTAGGCTACCCGACCGCCCCTGTTTCAGCTAAAAACAAACTGTTGGCACAAAATTTATTATATAACAGTCATTGTTACATTCTACACACATTGTACCTCAGCTGTGTCCATTCCAGATTGCCCCAGACACAGATATTCTGTATCTTTGCTTGCAAGATACAAATTGTAACTATTTAACCGGATTACAAGTACAAAAACGTTGCACGTTGAAGGAAAATTTTGGAAAGTAGTTTTAGTGTTTTCAGACACCGCCAGATGGGGCCAGTAGAGGCAATCGGCCAATACCTCTTTCACCATAATAGTTTCTCGGAAGTAGCTAATCACCATGTCATTACCCTAGCCTTAAGACGCAATAACTCACATTTGACGAGCGGCAGTCGACGAAGTTTATGACTCAATGATCAGGCGTTGTTGACGATGCAGTTGACGTTCCTGTGACGTTTGTACGGGGAGGAACGATTGAGACACAATAGGCTTGTCTCCTTGCTTAATTCCGAAAGGAATTAGAGATATACCACCGACGGTGAAGAGGACCACTTTGGGTGATCGTCAGTTTTATTGCATTCGCTAATCTGATTCTGTTGTCACCGCAACTCGAATTGCGGCATGGCAATTGTTTTGATTTATATAAACTGCCCTGTGTACACCAATTATTATTAAGTACTCAGTACTGAACGTCTTTCCAGTGTATTCGAGTCTATAAATGAGGACTTAATCTCTGATGATTTTGATTTGGTTCAGATACAGATACGGACAGCCATTCAAACCTTAACTTAGCTTTAACCAACAATGTCAGAACAATATGTTTTACATTATTCGCATGTTTTACTCAGGAAAATATAATATTTGGTAAAATTAATATTTGAATACAATAGTTTTCATAGAAAACAACGTATATACAAAATGAGTAAAACTCTCTTTAGACAAAATTCAAAGAAAACTGGTAGTTTCTATTCAATAACAAAATAAGATAGCATTCATGTACTTCATGTTGGTCACCACTACTTACTCTGTTTGCAGAACCGTGAAGATCCGGTAGAATAGGTCTTCAGCAACCCATGCTTGTCGTACAAGGCGACTATGCTTGTAGTGAGACGATACTAACGGGATCGGGGGGTCAGGCTCGCCTACGTGGTTGATGCATGTCATCGTATCCCAATTGCTTGGATTTATGCTCATGATATCAATCACTGGAGTGTCTGGTCCAGACTCGATTAATTAAAGACCGCCGTCATATTACTGGATTATTGCTGAGTACGGCGTCAAACAACAAATAACCTAACCTTACCTACTTCACATTGTGCGTAACTGGACATGAACATAAATTTTATGTAATCTGTCTTACATACCCAAGAGAATAAATTAAAAAAGTAGTCCAACTCAAGTGAAATAAAGAACTTCTAATTTTTTTTACTTCCCATGTTGATAAGACAAGAAAAACTTATCTTACCTAAAAATATAAATCTACAAAATAAAAAAATATGATAACCAAAATAATAGAGTCAACATTTAGATATTTTAATTTTTTTTATATAAAGTAGATTTATATTTTTGAGACTGTCATTTAGAACCCGAAAAAAAGTCATCTTACTTAAAAACATAAATCTACTAAATATAAAAATATAAAAAAATATTTAAATGTGGACTATTTTGGTTATCATATTTTTTTTATTTTGTAGATTTATATTTTTAAGTAAGATAAGTTTTTCTAGGTCTAAATGTCAGTCTAATGAATATGGGAAGTAAAACATTTTTAAATAAAACAATTGACAATTTTATGAAAGATATTTCATTTACCGCTGGCGTACAGTGAAATCCCGTTTATCCGGACGGTGGTTTTCTGTTGAAATTATCCGGGTTAACGAGTATCGTGAATAACAAGTCATAGTCCCAGAATAATGTCAGCCCAGCAGTAACTGTCAGGTTATGCCCTCCGGATTAACGGTGTCCGGGCTAACGAGGTTTCTCTGTATTCGGTGACGACAAAGCGCATCTCGTTAACATGGCTTATAACACTGGATTCAGGACTGACTCCATCCCACATAGAAACACAACTGTGGCCAAACACCCTTGAACTACCGACCTTTTAAACTGCGGGGGCGGTTGGTGGTTTTCGGATTTTGATGGTCGTTTTAAACCGTTTGAGAAGCGTGACTGAATCAATCGGTAGTGTACCGGAATAGGTTAGTCCGCTCCGGTATTCCCGTGATACAATCTCTGTTGCTGGTACTGAACATAAAGAATTTTTCATTCAGCTTTCAGTAACCTATATCTGTCAGGACTAATGAAACGGAAACAAACAATTGTATCGTTGTTAAGACCCATATTAAATTATTCTGGAATGTTGGTTAGAAACCGAATATTTTTCGGTCACTGAATCAAGGCGTATCCTGAAA